ACAGTGAGGAGGGCATGGGGGATGTGGGATGGGTAGTGGGGAGATGCGGCAAGAGGGGTGGAGGCCCAAAGCTGAGGCAGGAGAGGCAGGGGTTGCAGAGGTGGGGCGGGGCAGGCACCTGCTGTGGCTCCAGCTCTGGTCCCAAGCCTTTAGCCAAAGCTTCTGCCTGCCCCCCCATCACCACCTTGTACTTGTTTCCAAGATGAAGGACCTTTTCCCCCACGTTAAATGAGGTGGGGAAGCTTATCTCAGAATTGAGAAAATACAGTATGATAAACTAGCTGGATTAATGGCTTACTGAGACTTGGGGGAGTAAAGTTAGTATACATACCAGACATCACCTAATAAACGGAGCCTGCTTGGTCTTGGTGTTTGTATCACTTCTCAGCCTCTTGTGAGCTCAGATCAAGTGTAGTGCCTGTTCTTATTGGTTACTCAACATATAAACTGGGTATGAGCCCAAGCATGTTAATGTGTGCTAGCTAATTATGGGACAAACAGCATATTAATGATGTGCATGTCTTCCAAAATTGTGCATTTTTTACTTTTGGAAGATAAGCCAGCTGAATCACTTGACTGACAGTGACTAAAGCAAATCTTGTTATATTCTCTGTTTACTGGAACCATATTGATGTAGGAACTGAAAGCCCTTTGGGAGCAACAGCACCTTAAAACATTATGCTTAGGAGGGAATAAGGTATATCTCCTATGAGAAGCTTTTGTTCTTTCCTTGTTAGTGTCCCAGAAAGCTTTCTTCTATTGCAGGTGCTAATACCTTCTTCTTTGCCCATCCTTCAGATTGTGTCATTCCTGTCTTCACCCTTCAGAACTCTCCAGTAGCTGCCTTATATAATGCATCAACTTCAGGCTTCTCTGTTGATCTTCATAGCTCTGTACCTCACTACTTTTCCATTACTTTCATGTATCACCCTGCCCCCACCATGCCAACAATGCTAGGAGATGGGGGGGGTTCCTGGCGGCTTGGTTCCACCAGGTGGCTCTGGGATCCTCAGTGGTTCGGGGGCATCAGGTAACCCTGGAGGGTCCAGGAGAAGGGCTGTCCCTCAGGAGGGTCCTCCTTGGGACTGCCGTGGTCTGGGGGGCATCGCCGCTTAGGGCCCGCCGTCGTTGCCAAGGGGCTGTGGGGGACCGGAGGGGTCTGCCGTCGCTTGGGGTGCTCCACTGTCATCCGGGGGGCATTCTCAGGATCCGGAGTCCTCCGCCAGGCCTTGCCTGTCCTCATGTTCACTCTTCCAAGTACAACAAATGGGTCAGCAACCTATGGCCCCACAGGGCAGATGCAGCCCATAAAGGTACAATGCAGTCTGCATTTTAGTAAGGGCATGCCGATCCTCGGCCATTTAATCTGGTCCAAGTTTTTCTAATGGCATAGTGATCGCCTCTGGCCACTCCAGCCAATTGTTCCAGCTTGCCTGAAGTGTTGCTGTCCCTCACTGCAGTCTAAACTCAGTGGCAAGAGCAGCTGGAAGGAAATGGTGGGCTGCAGTGCTGATCCAGTCACAAGCTGTGGCCCACATGAGTAAAAGCCTGCAGGCAGCCTAAGCAGCCATTTAAATTGGGCAAATTACACTAGCTGCTTGCTGGAGCCCACCGATTTTTTTTTTTTTCAATGTTAAAAGTACCACTTAACTGAATTATGTGTGCTGGTTAATTCATGCAGGAATAGCATGGGCTCAGCTGCTCACAAATTACTAAGGCCAGTTACTTTGTTATTCACACTGTTTTAGGCATCTAATAGAAGCCTAACATTTGGCAGGCTGCAGTCATTTTTCTGGCTTGGAATAATACAGCAAACTGGTTAAATGGTGTCCACTGTGCATTTCGGGCAGTTCTTGATTGCTAATTGAGCCTGCTATATGCGGCCTAAACTGTGCCATTTTCATGCCTTCTTCCATGCCTACCCTGTCCATGGAACTCTGTCTCTGAATAGCTCTATAAAGCTACAATTTCTCCTCTTTTAAAGCTAAGATAGCTTCTGTGAAATTGGTGGGACTTCCAGTTATGCTAAGCCATCGTTAAGCTAAAGCTCTAAGATTGAGCTTGGGAAGGACCGGCCTCTCTGACTGCTGAATGACCTGATAAGCACTGTAGAAAAAACACTCTAATGAGCAGGGAAGCTGATACAAAAAAGAGAGTATGAGAAGCAAATAAAATTAATAAGGACAGGTGTTGAGATAAGAGAAGAAATGAAGGGGGCCTGGAGTGAGCTTGCAAAAAGTTAATTAAAAGTAGATATTTTAGCAAAAGGACAGATAAATATTGGTATGAAATAATTGTTTCTTTGTAGCGACCTAGGGGAGTGTAATTTACACATGGCGTTGCTATCATTGTCCCAGGCAGTTCTTCTGAGTTGGGCGGATTACTGAACAGACCAGCTAGTGTACTGTCAAAGGGACAATAACCCCCTCCAAACTTTTTGCCACTGAACATGAATTTAAGTCTTCCTTTCTGCATCGCACCTAGACTTCAGGAGGCCACTTGCTAGCACTGAGGCCACATGGACCCAAGCAGCCTGAACACTGAGAATGACAACAGGCAAGAGTCAACCCAGACTCACACCTCAGAACAATATCATCTACCAAAAAAATCATTTACTTGTAATAATGAATACAGTAAAGCAGGGATGTCAAACTCATCCATCCCCACAGACTGGATGAGTGGTGTGCGGCCAGTCTGCGGGCCCATTCCCCTTCCCTGTCCCCCAGCATACTTGATCTGGTGGCTGCTCCATCCAGTCTGGGACCTGAGCTGCATGTGGTGTGGATTATGGGTGGCTGGAACGGATGCCACATATGGGATAGTCCGGCCAGAGTGGCACTCACACTGCATGCAGTGGACACCCCAGCCAGACTGCACCACAAGTAGATCACCCCAGCAGCTCTGGGACTGTGCCAAATGTGGTGCACACTCCAGCAAGTCTAGGACATACATTGCATGCAGCACCTATAAGCATCATATGCAGCGTGGGTCCTGGACTGGCTAGAGCAAGTGCCATGTGTGGCATGCGTCCCAGAGTGGGTGCCACGTGTGATGCCATCTTGCCAGGGTAACCACCTCGTGCACCATGGCTGGTGCTCCAACTGGATTGTGCCACTTGCAGCATGGGTCTCAGACCTGTGGAGCAGCCACTAGATCAGGGATGCTGGGGAAGGGGGAGGGTTCCATTGGCCTAATCTGGCCTACAGACTGGCACCACATCACAGGTGCATGCTATGCCCTATGTGGGTTTAATTGGACCCAGAGGAAGCACTGGGGGTTGGATAGTGGGCTTCATGGGTTGGTCTGTATGTTTGATACCCCTGCAATGAAGTATGGCTGACTTGTCACTACCACCTTATTTGTCAGTGCACTTAAGTCCCAGGCAGGAGCTGTACTGATTTATACACTTTAGTTAATCAGTCACCTGTTTAAGCACAATTCGTCATTTCCAAAAAAATATGCATAGAAAATCACTATAGAAATTTATATTGATGATTCATCAATTTAAAAAAGGTATGGTAGCTCCTGGATCATTTGTATCCAGGCGATTCACAACCCACTCAGTTTGCAATGTGGTTGCTGAATTCAAGAGGAGCAGTGCAAATGATTTGTTGTGGCTTTCATTTCAGAGGGTGGCACTCTTTGTCTCTTGATGTAATATGCAGAATAAAGTTAGGTAATAATGACTATGAATGACTAATTATCTCACAAAAAGTTGGAAATATGGCCAAATATGATTATTAGTTGCTCATGGATAATTTAGTCATTGTTATTCATCCCCTTGGAGTGACTACTTAGCCATATTTTACTGTAGATTTTTGAATAGTTGATCCTAAATGTGTATTTATTCTATAATAAAACCATAACAGATATATTCACTGGCTACCATCTGGTCTTTTCTTTCTGCTGTCTAGCTACTGTTACATAACTAAAAGTGCCTGAATGATTTATTTTTTCAACTACCTGTCCCCGATTATAGAATATAATAAAAAAAATCTGTTTGCGTGTAATAGCAAATGAAACAATTATACAGAATTAATACAAATTCCTATTTTTGTCGCACAACATCTGCATACGTTATGAACAGTTAATGACCATTATTTTTTGTGTTTTTCTACAGATCGTTCCCGAGAAGCATTGGAACAGTTAGTTGGACCAAACAAAATCAAGCAAGTGACATGGACTGTGTATTGATTTAGTGTAAGGGTCACAGATCATATAGCATTTCGGGAAATTACCTCTTCTGGGAAACAGCTTATTTTCCGGTAACTGGTACTTTCCGTCTCGCCAGATTGCTTCATTCTCTCTGCCTCCACTAGAGGTCTCTGTTACCATCCAAGTGATTTCAGGTCCCAGGCTCCTGTATCAATGCCTTGTTATTTGGTATTTTCTTTAATTAAAGCACCATCTTTCTTTACATCATAAGATGGATCATATTTCATTAAAAAGACACTTTGAAATTAATATTTATATTAGGAAAAATGCCTTGAAGCCACAGGCAAAGCCCAGACTCCACTGTGCAAATGTGATGCAGTCCCTGCCCTAAAGAGCTTGCAGTCTAAGTGCTTCCCTCCAAATACTTAGGCTGCCTATACACATGCTCAGGGGTGTCAGGGAGTGTTTTAATTAGAGTGGTTCCCAGAGAGCCACTCTAATTAATTAAAATGCCTCACCATCATGTGCATTAAGCCTCTGCAGGTTTAAAAATGGCCACAGGATGCTTTATCAAAACCTCATTTGACAAAGTTTGGATAAAGCGCCCAGCGGCCATTTTTAAACATGTGGAGGCTTATAAACATAACGGTGAGGCCACGCTGGAGATTTCTGATTAGAATGTAGAACAGGCTCAGTCAGTCTGCTCTGGCGTGTTCTAACTAAAATGTGAACCAGCATGCGTATAGGCAGCCTTTATGTCTACATACATGAGGAGTTCCCTCAGAAGTTAATAGCATTACTCACAAGCATAAAGTATGTGCTTTTTTACAGGATCAGAAGCAAAGTTTATGACAAAATACAGCAGATAGTGCAGGTGAAGAAAGGGGGAAGTAATAGAAAAACACACGTGGCTTTCATAATGACAGCTAGTCTCAGTTCACCACTTTCTTAACTGTTATATTCCTATTTTTAGGAATATAAATTGGTAGGTGTTATTCATGCTGTTGCTTTTCACTTTGTTTAACCACCATATACTTACCTGGATTTTTAGACAAGAATTGTTGTGGGGGAGATCTTTTATTGACCAACTGCATGGTTAACATAGACAAAGGCAAGATTTTGGGTATCATGGTAGCCTTCCTCAGGCCTCTGGATTTTTATAAGCCCAAAAACATAACCCGTGAGCAAATAAATACCACGAGAATTTTAAGACAGCTTAATCTTAAGTATAATAGCTATGACTTAATGAGCTCTCTGAATATCAGCAGATAGCCAGTTCTTTTAGCTTTTATCAGCATTCATACATGGAAGTGCTGAGATGGAAAGATAGGCCCATCTCAGTTCTGAGGTGTAACTGAACAGAAGAATTGGAACCTAGATTTAGTATTGTCTTTGACTCTCTGCCAAC